TGATGCGTTCAGACATCTGATTCTTCTCCGGTGACTAATTGGGCAGTTGGGATAGTTTAGTTGAGTCAACAGAACTGGTGAGGGGTCAGAGAACTGAGTAAGTCCTGAGATAATGGTTGAGATGAGAATGTGTTCATAAGTGGCAAGGATTGATGCTTTAAATGGTAAAACTGAATTTAATCACTTTACATTAATACTAGGGAGGGTTTGGATCATCTAGACAAGAAGAATTACCAGTAATAATCGAATAAGAGGTCTTAGAAATTAACCAAGAGTCCTAGAAATGGTAAGGGTTAGTGTAAGTGAGTGATTATGCAGAATTCACGTACTGCAGATTATGCAGTGTCGCTATGCGAGTTGTCTCGCATAGCGAGACCCTGAAAAGGGGTACTCACTGTTTTGGAAATTCGCTGTGCGAGTTAGTGCGCTGTGCGAATTTCCAGAGGGTGATGCTCACTGTTTTTGGACTCGCCATGGCGAATCCTGTCGCTATGCGACTGGTGGTGGTTTAGGATCACTGCCTATTTAATTCGAAGAGCGAGTGAGGTGCATAGCGAGAGGTTTGAAGTGATGTACGCTGCGAATCAATTCGCCATGCGAAATAGGGTGCGCTATGCGAATTTTAGCGGTCCTTTTGTCTGGGAAATTCGCACAGCGCACAAGGGGGGGTGCGCTGAGCGAATTATGTGTCGCAGGTTGAGTGTTTTTGGTGTTTTTGATGTTTTGGGAGTTCCGAATGTCCGTTTTGGACGTTCTTTAGTTCGTTCTGGGGGTTTTTGACCCTTCCGGATCCATTGGTGAGGGTCTCCAAGCTGTTTGAATTACTTAGATATTGAACATTAAAAGTCCTAAAGAAGTTTGTGTTAATACGTGATGGTTTTGTGAAAGTATGTAATTTATGAGTTGTGTTTATGACATGGTTGATGTTGTATGATGATGTAAATGAATATGAAGAGGACATCTCGGGGAGAGATGGATGAAAGTGATGTGTGGGGTGATGATGTTGTTCTGTATAACTGTATGGAGCTTTGAACTGGTATGTCTATCCCTAAACTCAAAGCATTGTTCATGCTCAAATAGAGAAGGACAATGTGAGTGGTGAGAGTAGAGGGAGGTCCTCGTCTATAGTCTTAGAGTTTAGACATAGACAGATTTGGGGGATTTACCTTGCTAGTGTTGGGGAGTGCTCTACGCAAGTGCAAAGACGACCAATAGTTCGACAGTTATACAAATCCGGCTGAACTATGCGAGTGTAAATATACTTTAATTTTTTTTGTATATGTATCTATGTATGATGACATGAATTAACTGTGTTATGAGATAACATGCTTTTTATATCTAGCTCACCCTTGCATTGTATGTGTTGCATGTGTTTGTCTTCTCTCTTGCGATGATCATCCAATCCTTTGGATGTGAGCAGTAGGTGATGATGTACCATTGGAGCAAGCTTTGGAAGTTGAGGAAGACCCAACCCCTAGTGCTTAGGATTTCTACTAGCTCTTATTTTAAATAGCTCTTTAATTTGGAAGACTTCTAGCCTTCATTTTATCATGATCTGTATTTTGGAAACACTCTTTAGGTCCCATTGAATCTTTATTCAATCATGTATTTTGGAGAATTATGAACTTGTTCTTAAGTTTTAAGACTTCCCAGACTTGGATAACTGTACTCCTTAATCCTATCTATTGTGTACTCTTAACTGCTTTCTATTATTATAATCGATACATTCTACATATATACATTGCTATATATTTTGGGATGTCACAGATAATAATGAAATATTAAAAACGATTAAAAAATATAAATTAAAACTCACTGTGGATTATTGATTTGAAAACCATAAAAACGATAATACTTCAACAAAATATTTATTAACTAATTCACTGTTTTATAATAAAATGTTTAGTTATATAGAATTAAACAGAAATAAAAACTTCTTTTTAACCGAAAATAAAAACAAAAAAAGTAACAAAAAAAACAAGTTTATAATAACTATATAATCCTATATATGATACCATAACATAATAACTTGTTTGCGCAATATTCCAAGAAAATGTTTATTAATTAAAACATAATATTTCAAGAAAATGTTTATTAATTAATTCACTGATTTATAATAAAATATTTAGTTATATAAAAAAACTTCTTTAACAGGAAAAAGAAGCGAAAAAGTAAAAAAGAAAACATCAATTTTATAATAATTATATAATCTTATTTCTAATACCATAACAGAATCACTTGTTTGTCTTCACATTTGAAAATGCTGGGTTCAACCTCACACTGTGCAATGACATGGAAAGTGAAAGGGAAAAAATTGCATGTGCTAACTCGCTTTCCCCCAAAACTCACCAGCTTTGAAATAACACAAAAATGTCGGACCCACGATCCTCACGTTTTTATCATCTATTAAAATAATATAATTTGATTTGCACATCTTCTTTTTTCACAACAGGAAATTAACAGAAACAAACACCTATTTCCAGAGAACAAATGTGAATTTTAAATTTTGTTACTAAAGCATTTAGAAAATAGCAGTCCTAGCTAATATTGACAAAAAGTTTTTCAATTAACATTAGAAAAAAAAATTAACAGACTATTGACAAAAAATAATATATGAGTTCATAAAAAATCATTGCTGATATAACTTTCTTTTTTGCAATAGACATAATTGAATAAAAATATAATACCAATCCACAATAAAATAGTCTCTCTGAAATTAATTCGAGAAAAATTTAACTAATATCAAGAAAAAAATAATATTGGTCTAAAAAAAATATTTTAAGAACTCAAATCACAATATAATTTTTATTATCATCAATAAATAAAACAAATCTAAGACGACATCAATAAAAAATTAGTATCCTGATGATATTTTGATTTGACTAGTCAAGTTGATAACATCCAAAATCAAAATCCAACCGAAGAAAAAAATATGAAAAGATGGAAATTTTCGAATTCGTATCTTTTGAATAAAATTTAAAATTTCCTAATTTTAAAACAATCAAATTACTTTAATAAAATTCTAAACTTTTAATTTCTTTATCTAAATAACATATTTTTTCCATAAAAAGATTAAATGATTTATAAAAATTAATTATCCAATTAGAATTTTCCATCCAAATAAACTATAAATTTATAGTATAAAGGTGGAATTAAACTTAATTTAATCTCATAAGTCTACTTGGTAAAATGAGGTATATTATATTTTAGGCACGTTTCCAAACATGGGGCACTCTCAACAATTGAAAACTCTAAATTAATTCAACAGTATCACATTGTTAAGAAAAACTACTCTTTGCTAAATTAAAGGTTACATTCATATATAGGATCATTTGAAAAAACAATCACGTTTTAGTGTGTCATGCAACTACTTATAAAAGTAATATTATATTGTTGAGTTAAGAAAGCTAAGTTGGCTTAACAAGACGAACGATACATAATTTGATTTGTTTAATTTGATTAATTAAATTCAAAACATATTTAAAATTAAATGTTATAAAATTGCCCAAAAAAATCAAGGCATAAAATTTAAAGCCTCATAAAAGTCGAAATAGATTTTATCAGAAAATCGTAGTTTAAAACACAGCATATACATTTTGCCATATTTTTATTACAGAATTGTGCGTTACTGTTAAAGCAAAGAATGGAAAAGATTTTTACTTAAAAAATTAAAACGAATACTCTTCAAAACTACACATTAATATTAAAACTCTTGAGGTTAAAGTGCAACCATTAGATTCCAGCTTCAGTATTCGCAGGAAAGAATTAATCTGACCAATTGCAACCATAATAAGTAGAAATCAAATCAATGAATTAAGAAATATACTATAATTGAGTATTGTCCTTGAAATAGAGTTATAGTCAACACTGGCGGCGAGAAAGCTTTGGCCTTAGCTGCATGCAATGTGACCCATTTGAAAGCACTTACATTCCCTTTGTTTGATGAATTCAAAGCACGGTTTCTGTCAGGTTCTGCTTCATCATTATTACATGGAGGGAGCAAAGGGTTTAGGTCAGGTGGAATGGATCAAATTCATCGTTCTGTGATAATTCATCAATCCAGTCTGAAATGAAAAATAAATGTATTAAAGTAAAACACATCCGCTTTTAAATTGTTGATGGAAATTGACAGATGGACTTAATGCATGGTAGTACCTTGCTGAGCAATTGCGAAGTCAGGCAGTTGAACATCTTGATCTGGAGCACCATTTATCAGCTCAATCTGCATCAGACCTCTCGAACTTTCACATGCTTGCTGCCATTGAGAAAAGATCATTCCATTAAGAGCTATACACTGCTAGGTTTGTTATGATAATATATATACGAATCAAGAGATGAAGCAATAAGATTAAAATATAGAAAAGAGATTGTGAAGCAGTGAATTCACTCCAAACAGTTATACGTGGAATTGTTGAACCAACCATCATGAACAAATTTAAATTCGGAAATTGGATTCTCTTATGCAATCGACCTGTCTGATTCAAAAGACAAAAACTAGAAAGTATACGAAGAAAAAAAAAGGAAAATGACGGAGAGAGAAACAAAAAAAGTTGTATACCCTTTTGACTGATAGAGAAAGATGATAACCACAAAAAGAAAGAGAAAAAATATGATATGCAGATATGTACCGTCTGATCGGAGTTGAAAGTATTATTCTCTGATAGATAATTTTGTCCTTCAAATAATATGGTTTCAGCAACACCAGTCTCAGCATGCTTTGCTTTCTTAGCCTGCTTATAAATTTCTTCCCGGGTTTTGGAGGAAATCTTGCCGAGTTTCTACGCTTGCACAAGAAAAGATTCATCAGATGAAATTTTACATACCAAGTCGTATAACCATATATTCAAATTAAATTACGCTGGCTCCAAAAGAAAGAAGAATGAAATAATTTTGTCTATGTATATAAACGATTCCAATAAGTTATCTTTTGGGGTTTTTATTTTTTATTTATTTAAACTAATTTTACAATACAAATATATTATCTTTTTGTTTTAACTTTTCTATCCTAAAAGTGTTTTCTTCCTTAATACCTCTTCCAAAGATAATGGATCGGTTTCAAGCTCCTTCAAAAAATCGCCAACAGTATGTATCCCGTCCTCAGAAAGCAGCTCAAAAATTTTCCCTTTTTTTGATATATGTTTAAAATGCCATATTTCATCACTGAGGGTTGGATCCTTTTTCTTGTTCACTGCAATGACCAAACCACGAGTGAGTCGCACGAATTATAACCTAAAATGAATAATATTTACAGCGAATAAATTCGAAGTTAATCTGGGATTACACAAGATCCCATTAATGAACATTTAAACCCTAATGAATGAGTAATCTAAAAGCTGGAATATAGTTAAATTTAACATATAATTCCGGCATGATTTGCAGAAAAAGTAAAAAACGAAAGAAGTGACACAAGGGTGAATACTTACACTTACTTCTGTAGTCCTTGACTCTAAAAGGTTTACTTATACCTTCCCTGATGATTAATGCGTCATTCATATTTGATTTTGCAACCATCGCTCCTAATCTGAAACGTCCTGTTCTTATCCAAAATGAGTTGTCAGTGAATTCATTGTGGATAAAACCTACTCCATTTTTAAGCGCAATAACCGTATCTCCTTTCAGTAGCTGCCCTTTATTCTCTCTTTGACGTAAGATTTTGGATTTGAATTCATCTTTGCTCCAATTTTCACTGCCATCTGAACCAAACTCACCATTAAGGACGCAAATCTCTACCTTGATCGAAGACAGTGGATCATTCTCATCAGAGACTATAGACCGAGATTCAACATCGAAAAGAGCGACCTCAAGAGGATTGTTGTCTCTAGCTTTCAATTTGGACATAGTATAAATTGTATCAGGCAATTCATTCCTAAAAACCAGCTTCAAGAATCTGCGGCCTCCAGATATTTCAGTCTGAGTACTACTTATTAGTCTGCAACAAATTTAAAAGACGTACCAATCATAATTAAAGCACACAAACAATTAATATCAAGACAAAAAGAGAAACAAACCTTGCTAGTTGGAGTTCAACCACCTCTCGTGTCTGGTAAAGGAATAACGACATGAATCAATGACAGTTGTTGTCGTTAACAACATACGATACCCTAACAAAGAAAAATTGATAATATTCTTACTATATTTCGAATTGAATCTTCCAAGTAGGGCATCAGTTCATTCCAATTGAGAAGCAGAAACATAGAACTTCGAGTGATGCTGCAGATGAATAAAGTAACGGTAACTAACAACAACAATAAAACATCATGCAAAGGAATTTTTAATTAATGTTGCAGAATTCGTTAAAAGAATTCACATCAGTTGAGATAATATTACCGCCATGTTTCCGATAGTTGTGAATTCTGACGACTCCGCTTTTGATCACCCCTTTTGTCCTCCTCTTGGGATTGTCTTTTTGATTCCATCGGCTTCAAGACAAAGACGTCAAGAACAACAATAAAATCAGATACTCAATCACTAAAGATAATCTTTTAAGTGAATCTCGGAGTTCGGTATGGGGTATGTTCAAAATAGAAAGGTTTATATTAAGGTTCAAGGTTTTTTTTGAAGGTTCGAGGAAATGTTTCTCCCAAGGATAATTTCCTAGAAGGTGTTTTTTTAATGCTTGTTACGCTTCCTACTCTCTTCTCTTTCCCTCCTTGTATCCTAGACACGCATTGCTGAACGCGTTTTGGGATGGTAAGATATGAGTCTTAGATTAAAGAAATTTATCCCAGTTACTCGTGGCTGTGGCTGCATGAAGGAAAATGACTGGCTAGAAAAACTGGTAAACGCAGAAAAAAAAGGTGTTTACTATCACTGTTATGATACTTAATTAAAGATTCGCACAGGTAGTAATAACTAAGAGTACTGCGAAGTAGTGGGGACGCAATTTTTCACAAAAGCGTGTACGAAATCCAAGGACCGGTAATTTGCAGTATTTCTTACGGTCGAATGTCTTGATAATATTAGAGAAACTGCGACACTTTAATTGTGTAACGCCTTCAGTGTACAAAACGAAGGATCATATTTAACACAGAAAAACTTTCCATAGCTGAAAACTGATCAATTTCCAGATCATTCTTTACTGAGAAAATTGTTGGGGAAGTTCGTAATACTGTGACGGTCGAATATTTTGCACGTACAAGTCCAGATGCATAACAGTTTCAAAGCTTTCAAAACTAATATGCAATATTTCGTTAATTGAACTTGATTGTGGAAAGAGTTGTCACGCGTTAACTTTTCCACCATTCCCATTCATGTAAAGTTTATGAAATCAGATTTTTATTCAGCAACAATATTTTTCAACTATCACTCAAACTTAGGTTTCACTCGCACAACCATCATTGAAGATTGATCTTGGAATTTGTTGGAGGTGCTTGTTTTACAGCTCTAAAATTTGATGCTTTGGTTTCAGTACTTCTGTAAATAAAAGCATTTCAATATTTTAACAACTTTTTTAAACAATTTTTTACAATAAATTAAGTGTCACTATTTTATTGGGTTCGTATTCAGCTACTTATGTTTTCATGCATCTATTTACATACGGTTATCAACATCGTTTGACTTAAATAAAAACTGTTGGCTTATTTTTGTAGTGGTGAAGTGTAAACTTGAATAATAGTTTGGAGAGCTCTTAATATGGTGCATATACGAAATGTAAGACTAAATATTAATCTTAATTAATTTTGATAGTGGATAAAACAATAGGTATAAGATATAAGAAATCTCTCTAGATTCATACTCATATCATAATTCTTATATTATGTTAAGAAATAAATTTAAAATCTTATACTATTTCACAAAATTAGCTTATAAAATAAAATTTGTATTCATTTATATATTATAAACTTATCTTCAAGGTTATCAAACTCGAGAGTGAGAGTAAAATAAACTCGACTGGTAAACTCAACTCGTAAACTCAACTCATAAGAGTTTATTTCAGATGAAAAAAAATTATATAAATAATATCTTAATTCAAATAAGTCTACAAAATGATATAACTTTAAATAAATAAAATTTATAGATATATTGTTCATAAAAATAAATATTGTAAAACATAAATACTTGGATTATTGTCATTAATTTTGATGCATTTCATAAAATATATAATAAAGAAAGAATTAAAGCACTAGCAAGGACTTAAGTTTTATTTTCCTATTACAAACCAAAACAATGCTCAGCTCACGACTTTGTTAAAAAAAAATAACTTCACTCAACAGTGAGTGACGTAGTGGGAAGGAGGCGAGATCAGTATGCGCGACGGCAAGCGTGACGGTAGGCGCAACGCGAGCACGAAACAGACATGACAACGACCACGAATGGAGCGCAAATGGAGCATGAACAGAGTGCAATCGAGCGCACGCGACGACGACCTAAAGGAGGTGAGGCGATGACGATGACCATGGAGAGAGACAGAGGGGCGCGAGAGATAGTAACAATCAGGTCATGAAACCCTAAACCCCAAACAACCTCATTTTTCTTAATTTTTTCCCCTTTCAAACTCGCTAAATCGCTGCAAACTCGCAATTTTACACGATCCTACCGATTTCAGAGTTGATTCTACCGAGTTTATGTAAAAAACGAGTTTACTTTCGAGTTAACTCAGAAGCCATGTGTGAAAACGTAAACTTGTACGAGTTTACGAATTAACTAGAGAGTTTGATAATCATGCTTATCTTATCTCTAACTGATTTGAAATCCTCAATATTCATATTAGAACATCGCATCTAAAGTGAGTATTTTAGTAATAACTATGCATGAATATCTTAATTAGTGATAACTTTTTCTTTGTATCGTGTTCTCCAATAGGACATGTTTTTTTTTTTTTAAAATGGAAGATTTTTTTATACAAGAAGTCCTTAAACTTTGGATTATTCACCTATTTTATATCATTTTCACTCTATCACCAAAATAAATCTTCGACTATGATATAAATTGGAATTATTTTTTTTGAGAAAAAACACTTAAAATTTTTGGCACCAATGAAATGTGAAGAACTTCAAATAAGACATCGCGACACCTTCAACCTATGATTCTTCTACTTATAAATTTATTTGTATCCGGTACATGATTTCTAACTCATCTTAAATTCCTACCATTAAATGAATTTGTGCTCGTTTGGTTTAGCTATCGTGCATTTCTGTCAATTTTATTAAATAAATTAAGGACAGACAACTCAGGACAGAATAGGTAACAAGATGGCCAAGGTTTCCACTTGATTCATTTTATGATTCTGAACTCTTGATTAAGAATCATACTTTTAAATAGAAACATAAATATATGATCAGTTCAAAATGACAAAGTTATACGTTAGGAATGCATAACCCGGTATTGAGCGTAAGCATGACAACATGGACAAATACATAAAAAGAATTATAAAACTGAAAACCATTACCAAACTCAATCATGTGACCTTACATCTTGACCTAATCAAAGGAGAAGATTTTCATAATTCGCAATATATACTCATTGCCGGTAGAAAATATACGAATAGTGCAAATCAATGCCAGAAACGAATGCCTAACAAGTAATCAATTTCAAGGTGAATATGGCATCTTTTCAATTAACAAAATTTTGATAATTTCAATTTGATATACAGTATTGCAAAGGTTTCATGAACCAGGAAAATCAGGACGGTGAAAAAACTGCGATACTCATACATGAGTAAACAAAAGGCATAACATGATCACAGATATGTTCTGGTGAGGAGGCCCAGACCCATCATGAATTTATGGTCAACGAGTGCTTATAAAGAAAATTATGAGCTGGTATTTAAATCACGGGTTGTTGAAGGGTAAAATATTTTGGAAATTCATGACTGGAAACAGAATATTTTTTTTCATCTATTTTTTCTTTATGACATTACGTTACATATTATATATTTTTTATTATTTTCTCTCTCTAAGTGTCTACTCTATGTATACCGTGCATATCTAATTTTCTCGTACAATAAATTTCCCACCCAATTTTTCTTTTTTGTTTTTTCTCCTTGAATTGAAATTCATCATTTTCCATGTTAAAGACAGTCTGACGTTTGACCCAAAGGAAAAAAAAAGAGAGCAACAGTCCAAGTAATTTCTTATTTGAATTTGAAGGAAAAATGAAAAAGAACAAAAAAAATAGATATGCAGATAGGTGTTGAAAAGAATATGGATTGTCTTTAGATTCATGGTAACTTGAAGTGGTGAGAAAGGAGTAAAAACCTTGAAGTTTCGTTACTGTTTTTATTTACAAAAAAGTATGCGAAGAAGAGAGAAAATTTGAGTAGTTGAAAAGATTTATAAGCTGAACGTTATAGAGTGTAGAGATGAATGGTAACTGACCTGCGCAGAAGCTGCTGCTTTGATTGAACGTGAGAAAATTCTTCATGGCCTTGTGTACGCACCGGAGAGAAGAACAAGAAAGAACCAAGGGTTTGGGTTTTTCAAGGTAGCAGCAAAATATGATTTGTGTCCTTTTTCTTTTTTAAAGATTTGAGATCTGGTATAATGATATTCTGAGGAGCTTGACTTGCTCGGTCAACTTCAGCTATTTATTTCTATTTTTAAATGCTCTTCATTCTTTAATTAATTCTCCGTCCTTTTCTTTTTCTTATCTCTTCAGCTGGATTCCCCAGATTAAGACCTTCTTTCACACAATAGCTTGGACTAGTTTTTGTTTTTTTTTTCTTAACTACCCTATGATTTATGGTCCCATAATTAGTTCTGAGCGCGAACAGGCAAATAAGAGGATTACGAGGATAAAAATAAAATAAAACTATGTATGTAATTTGTAATATATGTTTAGAATATTTTAAAAGATTCAAACCTCCTCAATGGAAAGCAGTCTTAACCGAGAACATTCCAAAAAACGCAGCGATATCGTTAAAAAACATTTTGTCATGTCATTTTGTCTGCTGTCATTTTGTCTAATGTCACAAATTGGCATGACATTTATAAATTAATAGCTGATTAACGAAGTACAGAAATTGACTTGGGAAAACGCAATTGAAGAAGCAATCAAAAGAAAAACGAATTCAATCCAATTCTGACCGCAAAAAGAAAATTGGTTCTTCCTTTAAGCCCTATGCGGATGTATGAGGAGTTTGAAAGCATTTCTGACTTTCTGCCAAACCGTCTTGGCTTTCCCTTTGCTTGCCATATACTCAGCAGTGTTGGGCAAAAAGGAAGGGCTGTCTTGGCTACATGATGCTCCATTGTCACCACATAGTAAGGGGAAAAAATTCGGTTGCTCCCACTGGTCAGGGTTAGGAGTAAAGTAAGTTTCAAATTCGTCGAAGAACGCCGGCCAGCTATCATCTACGATTGATGTTGATGTTTCCAATTGACCTGCACATTCATAGGATAAGCATACAATGAGTCAATAATGATCACCACTTACCAATCATACTAAACCAAAATTTCAAGGCTAAGACAGAACATGTATAAATAGTCAACATTTCCCTACAAAATTCTTATTTTTGAGTGACATAAAAAAGAAAAGAGAAGACAGATACAAGTGATCAGGCAGTTGCAGACCTTGATATGGAGCACTGTATGACACCGCCTGTGTACCTGCTAACTTCGACACTATGTCATGTGTCGTTGGTGTGGCAGCAATTGGCTCCAGATCCTCCAGATTTGAGTATGCTTCCACCTTCATTCTTCCCACAAAACGCTGGCAGTTACAATGCATCTTGATCAGTTCCAATAAGAGGTAGATGAATCGTTAAAGTTAAAAATCTGAATAAGGCAGTAAAGTTCATTCCAGAAAGTTGCACAAGCCAATGGAACCAACACATAGAATAGGATATAAAATTACAAACCTCCTCCTCCGAATTCAGAGATTTCAGAGAACGATGTTGGCCGTTAATAATGACCTCCACAAGCTCATAGATGCAATTAAAGACAAGGGAAACAGATTTCTCTGGTTCCGTGGCACGATACGTGTACAAGTAGCGCTCAGATTCATCTAGTTCACATTCTTTAGCATGTTCAATGATTTTGTCCCATGTATTAATCTTGCCGAATTTCTACTTTCCACATGTGAATATCAGATGGACACATATACATGTCAGTACTAACTACTACACTATCAAGTTAAGCGCATCATCAAAAAAGAACCAAAGTACATAATCATTTGTCCACACGTAAGAATGTTTAAAAAGTTTTATTTACCTCCCGTAATAAACCGATTGTGTCCCGCCGCAAAAGATCCTTCACAGTCTTTATTTTATTCCTTGAAAGCTGCTTGCGAAGCTCACCCGCTTTTCCAATGTTCCTCAGACGCCATACTTCATCGTTCAAGGCTGGACGCTCGGATTTCCTGGCCACTGAAATAATCAAATACACATCGAAAATTAAAATATTTAAAAAATTATTTACCGGAAAATATGAAAATGATTATGGTAAAGGACTTACACTCTCCACGTTTATCTTTGACCCTGAAGGGTTCGCTTATGGCTTCCTTGATTCCTACTCCATGGGAGTTAGATCCCACGATTTTAACTCCCAACCGAAACGTTTTGTTTCTTGTGGTGAAAGAATTATCAGTAATCTTAAGCCTCTTCTTATCGATAAAACCAACCCCTTTTTCAATTTTAGTAACCGTGTGTCCTCTGAGTAATGGTGCCTTCCCCTCTCTTGGTTTCACAATGTTGCCATCAAATTCCTCTGCAGTCCAGTCCTGACTTTCAAAAGCACCATCCAGCACATAGATCTGAGCCTTCATGCTGGAAAATTCCTCTGTGTCAACGCGTTGCTGCGATGCAGCATCCCGCAGCTCAATTTCAAGTGAACCACCGTCCTCAGCTGTGAGATTGGCCATGGTGAAAATTACTTTAGGCAATTCATTGACGAAGCACAATTGGTAAGCTCTTCCTCCAGAACTGCCACCCTGATGGTTATGGCAAAATCGACAACTAAATTGGAAACAAAAAATTAATCACAATCAGTTTATGTGTAGAAAAATAGAGTGTCCATGGAGAAAGAAAAAGTATGTGACAAGAGAAACAAACCACGGAGACACGTGACGCTCTAGCATAGGTGGAATCAACTCCTCCATCTAGTTAGGGGAACGGAACAACATAGAGTTAATATAAAAAGCCTGGTTGGTTCTTTGTAATAGGAAGGTTAACGACACAAATTACACAGTTTTTAAATTTCTAGTGTACTTGAGTCAATAACGAATAGAAGCTTATTGTATGCTTACCAATTTGCGAAGAACAGGTTCCAAAGCGGCACTGCACAATAACCACAAAAAGAAAGGAAAAGTTTAGAAGAAGGTGCTTGGAACGAAGAGAGTTAACAGACATGGAAACAAACACTGACATGGTCTCGTCCCGTCTTCTTTTAGCAACAGTTTGAAGATGGGTGTCGTCGTTATTGTGATGATCCTCCTCGTCAAAGGTTCTTTTTGGTGCCATTTTCCCTTCACAAGCTTCAAACACTCGCTACCAACCAAACGAATCTTTGTTCACAACAACAAAAAAACCAGCAACTGTCTATAACTGCGACTCTAACTATATACAACAAACAAACCTCACTTCACTTTTATAAGGGTTGTTCACTGAGTGGTACAAGAAGACTGGTGCTAATCCTCCACGCGGACTTTTCTTCCTTCAGATCACTTAAGATTAGATAACCGCGCTGCATTAAACAAAAACCGCGTCGTTGGTATTTTTGGTGAAAATACATAGAAAAACATTTGCAATTTCATCATTTCGTGTTCAACTTTTCTTCTTCTACACTTGTTGGGAGGTATAAACAATATTTTGTTATTTTCATTTTTTATATTATTTCCTGTTGTTTTTATTCATTTCTTTATTTTATTTAGCCTTAAATATCATATAAAGGTCTGTATCACACATCTCAGACATATTCAGCTACTGTTGTAATTTTTTTTTTTTTCTGAAAAACGGAAGTATGTTGTTAAAGCAATCATATACGTGTAGATGTGCAAAAGTAGATTACGTGATTAGTATTTAAATATATATATATATATATATATATATATATATATAATTTAAATAAAAAATATTTAATAAGTTTAATTCTAAGTGATGTAATTAATAGCTTACTTTTTCATTTTATTACTACTGAAGGTGCATCTAAAAGTAAGGTTTAAGTTGAATTTATAGTTATACGAATGTATTAGTGAGTTTAATGTAATAAGGGTTGATTTGTAATTAGCTAAACTATTCGTTATGTGAGTACACAACAATGACTATCATAACCAACAATAATGAAAGTACGTAAAGCAACCAAAACATTAAATTTTCTCATTACTCGGCTTACCCTACTTGTTCATCAAACATAAAAGTATTTCATAGGGTACATTAATTGAACCCGTTCAAGCAAAACGTATTTTAATTTAAGTGACTTAGTTGTTCTCAATCTTAATATTCTCCTTCAACATTTAATGAGTGCTCTATACAAGAGAAGAAAAGTTATTTTCATAGGAATTACTATGTTTACACATCATTATGTTCTGTTTAAACTGAGTATTTTTCAACAAATAAGTAGAAAAAGTAATCTTACATCTCCTCATATTATAAATCATTTTAGTTGTGATTACTTGTATTATTATTGTGATACATAGAGAATGTGTATATGTGAGATTTTGATTGAGATTAGTGAGTGAAAGTATATTCAGGTTGCAAAAATGGATTGACTTGATAGAAGAAAAGGAAATGTTTAACTAAAAAGATATGGAGAAGGAATGATATAACAAAGTCACTAGGTTGTACCTTTTTTTTTAAGGATAACATACTAATCACAAAAATAAATCTTTTTACATATAATAAAATAGAAAAAGATAAAAAATTACATATGAATTGGGTCTATAAATTTGGTACAGTATCTGCTTTGAACAGAATAAATTTGAATTGATCACGAATCTTTAAGTAAAAAACTTGATATTAGAAACAACAACAACAATTGTACCTAAACAATCCAGCACAGATGTAGACGAGGAACCCGTCTTACACATTTCTTTAGTGCAGTAGAAATTAAAGAAGCTAAACTTGCAGAAAAACAAAGGCATTCAGAAACTAATATCCTATACATAAAACAGAGTCGAATTAGTTATGGTAAAACAGCTGAGCATTCTTTTTGGCAGTTGCGTGCCTTTTTACTGATATGACCCATTTCAGAACAAAACCAATCTTACACCACGCTGCTTTGGATTTGCCACTACTTGATATGTCCACAGCAGAATTTGTGAAAGTAGAATAACGGCTACATTCTTCTCCATCACAAGAACCAAAGAAAATACCACTTTTTGGTTCCCATGTTGCCCAAGGAGGACAACCATATATGAATTCAACATCTGACCTTTCATTCTCCATCGAATATCCACCTTCAGGGAATGGTAAACACGATCCGTCAAAGTGACAACCATCCTCGTCATTGTACATTTCAGAGGAAAATTCATCCAACACATAACCGTTAAGCGGCATTTCTCTCGTGCCTGGCTGTGGATCGGCATAAATTTGGCCGTCATGCATTCCTTCATCAGTATATGAAGTAGAGATAGATGGTTGACTACAACCTGGGAATGTTTCTGCTTGACCTGCACAAGACATGGTTAAACGATTATATAAAAGTGGACAAAGATCTATATAACAATGAAATGCCCAAAAGTTATGCCATTACATTACATATACCTTGTGCAGTTGACATATCCATGTGTAGCAGACATTGATCTGGAGTGTCGGACTGTCTTGCTTTTTTTAGACATGCGTCTAGGTTTAAACTGTTCAATTTAGTTTCATCAATCATTTTCAAATTGTTGACATTTTTGTAAGCTTGCTGCTTCACTATTTCCACCCAATGCTGCCAAGGAAGAAGGAACCTCATCACTTTTGACCCACGGGTACCGTATGATATAATTACAATGACAAGACAGGAATCATTATTTTAAAGAAACCAAAGATGTGACTAGAACTGTTTCTTGAAAATCTATTCCACAACCAATTACGAATAGGTTACGAATCCATACCTTATCATGGGGAGTGAGAATATCCGGTGAATAATAATTTTGCCAATCAAATGTCACTCCCACGAGGATGTAGATGGAATTGAATAGCAGGCCTATTTCCGGTTCTTGTGACTGATAGCCGTAAAGCTTGTAATCATCGATCACACAGGTATTGGCATGGTCAGTGATCGCTAACCATGACTTCTTTGGAAGGTCAAGCATCTACCACGACAGAGGAAAAGATCCAATGAATATACTCGTGTTAAGCATGGATACATTTATATGAAGGGCATCATAAGTAAAGAGAAAAAGTAAAAGAAACTAAGTTTTACTTACTTTATACAGTGATTGTTCGTTGGTTATGTACTGCCGCAAGAGATCCTTCACGGTGTGAATTCCATGTAAAGAAAATTGCTTCTGGATTCTTCCTTCCTTGGCAATTTTCTTCAAACGCCATAATTCGTCATCCAAGAATGGAGGGAAGTGTTTCTTGTAGCCTTAAATCACCAGATTACATGTCAGTTTTGAGTTATACTGAAGGAAAAATTATATCGAAAAACAGAATCCATGAACCATCCAAGTTTAATGGAAACAATAATGATGTCCTAAGTTGGAAACAGACAGTGAGAAATAGAAATGAAGTAATAAGACTCACACTCTCCCCTGTTATCTTTAACAATAACAGGCTCACTTCTACCCTCCTGAATCTTTTCTCCAATGGAAGTTGGTGGCACACATTTAACTCCAATCCTGAACCTTCTGCTTCTTTGCCATCTCGAGTTATCAGATATGGCAATTTTAGTGATACAAGCAGCTCCATTTTTAAGAGTAATAAACCTCTCTCCAATCAAAAGTGGCTCTCTACCTTCTCTTTCACGTGAGATATTGGACTTGAACTCCTCTTCTGTCCACTCCTCACTGCCATCAGATCCGAACTCACCATTCAGAACACAGATCTCTATCTTTAGCGAGGAAAGGGGACCCTCCTCTACTACAGACTTCGTTCTAACATCAAATAAAGCAATTTGAAGAACTGATTCGTCTTCTGCTTTTATATTAGACCGAGTATAGATTGTCTTAGGTAACTTATTAAGAAAGCACAACTTAAAGCGTTTGGCTCCGGATATTCCAGCCTCATTAACCTTTTTTCTGCAACAAATTCGAAAAACAAAAATAGTAAACAGAAAGAATTAATCAAATAAATGGAGGACAGTAAACATAGGAAGACAAATGAATCAACCAGATTTTCGCTTCAAAACATTAGGAAATGAAAACAACAGTTGTTCACTGTTAACACAGAATCTGAACATGATGAACTAACCTTGAAAATAGATGAACCTGGTCCTGGATTTTTTTTTCTAACTCCTCCCTTACCTGTTTGGGGAAGACAAATGAATCAACCAGATTTTCGCTTCAAAACAGATTAGATTAATGATAATGGACACTTGAAAGTCGGAAACACGCGATGAGAGTACAAGAGCAACAGAGACAAAAGAAGTGGCAAATTTTAGAGACACAAATAATCTGGTGGCTAATCACCAATGCTGTCCTTTCCTTTCAGAATCAATGTGAGAATCACAAATATGAGCACTAAGCAATTGCAGAGAGACCTGGGGAACATTGAGGGTGGATTTGGAATACTAGGTACATTAGAACCGGTGCTGGTGAAGTGATGGGTACTTTGAAAAGCCAAAACTAGCTGAAATAAACAAAACAAAACAAAAAATTTTCTCAACATCACACCACCAAGATAAAAGACTCAATCATTCCTTACCACTCTTCGCACAAAAGTTTCTAAATAGGATGAGTGGTCATTCAGCCACAGTGCGTTGATCACATTTCTCAGGGCACTGCATAATGAGCAGAAACTCAAACTTAGACCTCACAGCCCAAAAGGCCAAAACGACAAAGTATACTAATAACAAATAAGCACCTGATTGGCGCTTGTTTGGTATCAACATAGCTCCGTTTATGGTCCTGAATTGGAACTTTGCCACTGCGTTGCCTCTCAAAAGATTTCCTTTTTGATACCATCCAAAATGTTTCAAGCAAAAGAACAATTCAACGTTCTCAGAAGCACTCTGAATGGTATAAAACTAAACTGAGCGGTAGTTAAGAACTAGTGTTATCGATTCAACCCAAACCTGTATTTATAATACCCACGGAAGGAGGAAGGATGCTTCTTGAACTGCAGTGATCTAAAAGGACACGTTAATCCCAAAAAGTCAATCTCGCATTTGCTCCAAAAATTCCCAGAAAGTGCCAACAATTACTATAATAACAAAAACAGTTGAATGCAAACCATATAATATAGTTATCTTCAACTTATATAAACTGCTGATCGAACCGACATTTTATTAATTAAGACATAGATTGTTCTTAACTAAAACAGATATTAAGATTTTCAACATTTTGTTCATTCATCTTACTTATTAATATTATTGAAACTTTTTGAGTTTAACAATGACATGCAGTCTTAATGTAAAACAAATTTATACCGTAATTTAGTTACAACCAAAAAAGAGTTTATAATTGACTGGTACTTTAAAACTAAATCATTTTTTGATAGCATGTATCTTACAAGATCCCATGAAATCCAAGAAAAGTACTAGGTTGCCGCGTGTTACAAGTTACAACTGTGCTGATACACCCCAAGTGAGGATGAAATTGGAAAGTTTGGGAAGTTGAAAAGTTGAGAAGTTTACTAAA